AGGGGAACCCTCTCTGGGTTCATGCAGTTAGTAGGAGAGAATTCATTAGAACAGAGTAGCTTTGAGAACCACTGTTATATTTTGATATATACTGGATTTGGAGGAAGACACGGGTTTAAATCCCACTTTTTTACATTCCTGGCTGAGGGGTTTAATTCCTCAGAGCTTAGAGAATTCTCTAATACTTATCTATTGATTCATAGACTAAAGACAGTGCAGATGGGGCCTGACAAAAGCAATGGACAATTGGACCAGCACCTCGCTAGTCCTAGACTTTATGTCTGTCTCAATGAAGTCTTGGGGGACAAGTAGGTGACATGGTGGGGATAGAGCACCGGCCCTGGAGCCAGGAAAACCTGAGTTCAAATGTGACCTCAGACCCTTAATTACTGTGTGACACTAGGCAAGTCACTCAAGCCATTTGCCTCAGTTTCCCCATTTATAAAATGAGCTGGAGAAGGAAATGGCAAACCACTTCAGTATCTTTGCCAAGAATACTCTAAATGGGGTCATGAAGAGTCGGACACAACTGAAAAACAACTGAACAACAAGACTGCACACTAATGAAATCATATCTTCTTACTACGTTGATACAAAGCAGAAAACTACAAACCTTGGTAAAAAGAAGATTTTTTTTTTAAAAAAAGATTTTCTGTATTTTCCTCCCTTCCTTTTCCTTGGAATTTTTTCTTTCCTACTTTTTTTTTTGTTTTCCTCTTCATTTTATATTTCCCCCTTCATTTCCTTTTTTTTCACTCTTCTTTTTTTTTTTCTGCTCCCTGCTACTTGCTCAGATATTCTTCTCTGTCCTCTCCAAACTATCCATGCTTGAGGATCCTATTCTCTAGTGCAATCCAAATCCCATAGAAATGAGGCAGCCAGGCAGTGGGACTGACAAAAGCACGGAGGCCAGCACCTGCTCTTTCTCACTCAATGAGCCCCTTCTTTCCTAGTAGGACCCAATGCTATGTCTGTCTCTGTATATCTATGGGCCATGTGTTTCTGAGAGACAGTGATGAGTGTTCAATGTACGCACTTTGTCAATGAGTCTTAGTTTCAAAATTGGTGTGAAAGCCACTCCGAGCCCTCCTTTCTTTGACTTGGAGCTTGACCCTAAGCCATCTGAAGGTTTTTGATGCAGGGAAATAAAAACTAGCATATCTGAACAGAAATGGAGACAAAACAATAAAACATTCTTTAGGCAGCCAAATATAAATTTTGGGTAGTGATAATGATTCTATATCTTTCCATAATTATTAACAATACTAATTCTACTTCTCTTGAGAACTAATTAAAGTAAAACCAGGATAAAGCAGCAAAAAAGAAGTGACTTGGGAAATTATCTTGGCATTAAACAGAAAGTTGAAAAACAGATGTTGCCAGTACTGAGCTGTCAAGGATGCAAAAAAAAATGTCAATATACAAACCAACACAGACTTACTCCCCCACATCACTTCTTCTCTGTATAAATCCATATAAATACAAAGACATACACACTGAAGGCAGAGACATTGACACACAAACCTTTGCCATAGACAGTTGCATGGGTCCCACAAATCCTCCAATCAAAGTTATGACTGCAGATGTCATTCAAATGGATGTATTTTGTTCCATGAAATAGATGTCGTTCATCCACATCCTTCCCTCCATTCACTTTTTTCATCTGGTCCTTCTGCCTAAGGAAAAATATGTGAGATTTTAGTCACTGAAAATTCTATTTCCTCTTTGAAAAACTGAGGCCTTGGCAAGGTTTAAAATGACACATTCATTTAATGGATTAGCCAAATTTCAAAATACAAATCCACTGCATGGTGTATTCTTGAGTAGATATGCTTTTTTTAAAATTCAATAAGGAAGTAGTAAGCTATTATTATCATTATCATCATCATCATTATCATTATCACAATGAAATTTTCCTCAGCTGTAAATTAGAGACAAAATAGCCCCTTCCTCCCAGGGTTGTGAGGTTGTGAGAATCAATTGAGATATTTGTAAATTGCTAAGCATAGTGCATGGCACATACCAAGTGCTATATAAATACCAGTTGTTATTATTATTTTTTTTGTTATTATTAAAGGAGGCATCATCATGACCCTAATAATGGCTCATTATAGTTGTATAGCATTCACGGTTAACCAAGAGGTTTCATATATAAGATATTCTTTGATTTAAAACCCTAAACAGTATAGCAAAGTGCAAATAGAATATAAGAGGAAAGAAGTATAATTGAAAATTCATAGTTTATTTGGGGCTAGGGGCGGTGCTAGGCAATGGGGTTAAGTGACTTGCCCAGGGTTACACAGCTGGTTAAGTGTCAAGTGTCTGAAATTGGATTTGAACTCAGATCCTCCTCACTCTAGGGCCAGTGTGCTATCCACTGCACTATCTAGCTGCCCCTGAGAATTCATAGTTTATTGAACAAACAAGCTATTTAGAAAATTCTCTTTTAACTCTTCACTCAATAAGTAAGGGGATTTATTAAGTAACTGGCTATTAAGAGTAGAGGGGTTATCAGTGTTTTAATAAAATCTTTCCACTATCAGGTTTAACCGGCTCTGATTCATCACTCCTACTGCCACTTCTTTGGCCTTGGGCCATACTGTCCCTGGCAGCAGGCCATTTCCATTTCCCATGGTAATAGGGGTTGTGAACAAAGTGCACTAAGTGGAGAATAAAGAAGAATGAGAATAGGGAGTGGGGACTACATGAAACATGACACAATTGTTTCTTCTGACAGAGAGAACAAAGAGCTAAATTACAAAACACATAAGCCCCCTGAGCCCAGGAGTTGCTTTCTTTTTGTATTTTTATCCCTAACATGTAGCAGGATACCTTGCACATAATTTAATTTAATTTTTAATTAAAGTATTTTACTTAATTTTTAATTAATTTTTCTTGGATTGGGTTGGCAATCCTTACATCTGGTAGATTTGTAATTTGTAAATATGTATAGGTATTGTCAATATGAACACAAATAGGCCCATCTCTGGTTCAGTTGTTCTCAGTCAGAGCTAAAGAGCCCTGTAGTCAAAAGAGCTTCCCCAAATCCTGTCCACAGCTTAGCACAAATAGCACCAGAGAATCTCTTTAATAGCTATACAAAACTCTATGGGGTTAGTGAGTCAGATGTTACCCTTCCATTTTAAAGTAAGGAAACTGAGGCCCATAGCAGTTTAAAAATTTGACACAGAGGAAGTGTGTCAGAGGCAGGATGAAAACAGGTTTTCCAATTTGTAGCTCAAAGTTCTTTCCACTGTACTAAGGGGCTTGTATAATACATCTAAAGGGACAGTAATAAACACCCCATGAATATTTTTATTACTTGTATTACTTGTATTCTTACTTGTATTGCTTGTATTCTTGACTACTAAATTCTAAGTCTGCCTGAGTTGAAGTGACCCAAAGAAAACCAGAGAATGATAGGAAATGGTAACGAACCATTGGAAGACTTGCCAAAGGGCCAAATTCTGAATCCTTTGGATACGTTGAATGACGAAACCTGTCATTGTCTTTTCAAATTGGCTCTTGACATCACCGAATTCTTTAGAGGTTTCGTTGAGCATCACAAGCTATGTGGTGAAAAGGCACAGGTATGCAGAGGTCTCGTTAAAATTTCACATTGGTAAGCAAACAAAACTATCACTTTTTGCAGATGATATGATGGTATCCTTAGAGAATACTAGAGAATCAACTAAAACCTAGTAGAAATAATTAATAATTTTTAGCAAAATCACAGGATATAAATAAACCCACATAAATCATCAGCCTTTTTATGTATTGCCAACGAAGTCCAACAGCAAGAAATAGAAAGAGAAATTCCATTTAAAATAACTGTAGAAGATACAAAACACTTGGGAGTCTATCTATCAAGACAAACCCGCTTACAAAACACTTTTCACATAAATAAAGTCAGATCTAAACAACTGGAGAAATACTAATTGTTTAGAGGTAGGCCAAGCCAAAATAATAAAAATGACAGTCCTGCCTTCTGCCTGCATGTTATGGTGCTGCTGCTGCTGAGCTGTGATTCTAGCCAGCCCCAACCCCACCGTCCACAGACCTCTCTTTCTGTCTCTCTATGATTCCCTGCACTAGAAAAATGAGTCACTGTGACTTTTCTATGACTTCCCCGATGAGAATTCTGTCATTGTAGGGAATGATGTAAAAGGGCTAAGACAAAACTGCTAACTTTGCCATCTTGATTTGACCTCCCTAAAAATATGCATATCAGCTCTTTTGTTGTTGTAAAGAACTAGAATCTAATTAGAAGTACCCACCAATTGAGGAATGACTGAGCAAATTATGGTATATGAATATAATAGAATACTATTATGCTGTAAAAAATGATGGAGACCTACAAAGACTTGTCTGAACAAATGCAGAGTGAAGTGAGCAGAACCAGAACAATTTTATACATTAACAGCATTTACAATGCAACTTTTAAAGACTTAAGAATTCTGATCAATGCCATGACCAATCACAATTACAGAGGACTCGTGAAATATGCTACCAACTGCAGACACAGAGGCAATGGACCTTGGGTGATTGAGTTATGAGACAGATAGACAAATAGACACGGACATGGTCAAGTTGTGGGATTTATTCTGCCTGAATATATTTTTCAAGGGTTTTGATTTTCTTTTTTTTTTTTTGGAAGGAGGGAGGAGTAGAAGGAAAGGAAGGTGAGTTTTTGATAATTTTTTAAAATTACTTAAATTTTTATAGAAGAAATTGACTGATATATTTTTAAGGTATACCACAGCTTAGCCAAAAGCCAAATAACTGTAAATTATAAATCTGTAGATTCTCAATTAAAGAGGTTTTTTTGTTTTTTTGTTTTTTAAGTGTATCAGTAACAGAGTAAAACAAACAGAACTAAAAGTACAAGGTACACATTGACGACAATGATATAAACTTCATTAAAAGGAATACAAACTCTGAGTAACTGAAAAGCCAGTGAAGGTCCTAGAACAGATAATGAAATGTGTCTGTGTGTGAGATGTGAGATGTGAGGCAATACTATAGCAGAATGTTATATACATTGTTATATATTACTTTATGTATTATATATACATTTTATATATAAGTATATGTAGTATATATGTAAGTAAGTAAAATATATATGTATACTTTATATATTACTAATTTATATATTTAGAGATATTTTTATAACAAAAACTTAGAAAATCAGTCGTAGTAATTACAAATGAGTGATTGGTTTTAGGCCAGGCCTTCATGGATAAGTGTTTACACATTACTCTCGAATATCAGCAAAATTATTTTTTTCATAAGGAAGGAAAACAGGAAAGTAAAATATATCAAAGAGCAGTAAAGTAAGTACCTTATAACCAACATCTGGCACAGCTGATTTGTCCCAGGAGGGAGGGATCGCAAAAGTGAAAGCACCTTGCTGGCTCCCCTCTCCTTGGTTACTGAAAAAAGAAAGAAATCAATTGTATTTCAGTTCATGTTGTCCATTCTTTCAGTGAAGAATACCAAGTACAGAAGAATACCAAGTACCACTCCAGGAAGGACATTCTTCAGAAACTTCCGAGAATTACTGTCCTTTCATTCAGTTAGGGTTCCCTTCATATTTGCAATTAAATATATTGATAAGCACTGTGAGCAAGCACCAGCTAAAGGAATTTGAGATCCTTTTCTCTGATACCAAAGAAGAGTTAGAACTTCCAGAGGACAAAGAAGAAAAAGAAAAAGATGGAGGTGAGCAAGGCAAAATTTAAGAACTCATGAAAGCTAGTAAAAGAAATTCTGGATAAGAAGATTGAGAAGGTGACAATCTCCAGTTGGTCTGTGTCTTTGACCTGTTGCACTGAGGGCAAAGACATTGCAAGACAACTACCCAATGGCTAAGAGGCTGACCTGGAGTTTGATGAAGACCCTCCCATTATGGAGACTCTTCTGCAAAAGGCCGAGGCTAGTAAGAATAACAAGGCTGCAAATGACTTGGTAGTGCTGCTTTTTAAGAAAGACCTTCTCTTCTTTGGCTTCTCCCTTGAGGATCTCCAGACACCCTCAAAGTGAGTTTGCTACATGGTTGAGCCAGGTCGTGGTATTGATGAGAATGAGCTGAGAGCAGAAGAACCCAATGCTATTATTGCTAACGTAATACCCTAACTTGAAGGAGATGAAGATGTATCTTGAGGGCATGGAGCAGATGGATTAGAGCCAGGAGTGGGGACCCTGCGGCCTTGAGGCCTCACATGGCCCTCTAGGTCCTCAAGTACAGCCATTTGACTGAATCCCAACTTCACCAAACAAATTCCCGTGACAGGATTTGGTCTCAGTCAAAAGGCTGCACCCAAGGACCTGGAAGGCCATGTGTGGCCTCGAGGCTGCAGGTTCCCCAACCCCGGGTCTAATCCATCTGCTCCATGCCCTCAAGATGGACCCATATCTCCTAGAAGTTCCCTGTACCTCCTAAAGTAGCAATAGTGGCCATGTTTTGCCTAGGTTCATCTGTCATTGTCTACTTTTTTTTTCTTCCTATTTTCCTATAAGGCTATAAGCTATAAGCTTATAGCTATAAGGCAAAGGTATAGGCTCTTCTATTTCCTGTCATCTGACTTGGGAAGTAGAATGTCATGTATTGTGGGCGGTTTATCTTTTTTTTTTTTAAATTATACCAAGGGGTAGGTAGCTAGGTGACACAGTGGATAGAGCATCAGCTCTGGAGTGAGGAGGCCTTGAGTTCAAATATGGCCTCAGACACTGACCAACTGTATGACCCTAGGTAAGTCACTTAACCCTAATTGCCTCCAAAAATAAAAGTAAAGTAGGTGAAATGAGAATGCAGTTTTTACAATGATGGGGAAAAAACCCAACCCAATTAATAACAACAACAATAACAACTCTCAATAAAATGATAACATAGTACCTACTATGTGCTAGGTCATTCTTTTGCAAGAATCAAGAGAAAGTTCAGCCTGAATGGGTGGGGGTTGGGGTGGGGAAACAATATTATAGAACATATTTAAAGAAAGGAAGTTTTGTTACTTTCAAGTTCAGCAAATTCTGATTTTTTTATATTACGGGTCACAACCAAAGTCATTATGCAAAAAAAAAAAAAAGCTCTAAAAATAGAAGTTGATTTACCCAGCTTATCCAAAGAAAATTCAAGAATTAAGAAGAAACTCAAGGATGCTTAAGCCTCCATTGTGTAACAAATATACTAAAGGGGACTCAGAGGAGAGGGGGTACATTTTTATTCATTCATGTAGCAAATCTAAATAACGAGTAAATATGTGCTTTATTTCAGGTATTCTGCTTAGATCATTTGAATATAATCCTCCAGCTTTCAAACTGTCACAGACTTAGATCACTTCATAATTGAGCAGGAAGAATGTGTATTTTCGGGATAATAAGTTGGAGGATTCTTGTCCTCTCGTGTCCCAGGACAAGATGATGCCTACCTAGGTATCAAACAGATTGAAACTAGAATCATAGAAAGGATGTGAGACCTAGAAAGAGCTCACACCTTGTCATTTTAGAGATTATCTTGCCTGTCTTTTTTGAAACTGTATAACACGGGCTTTGTCAATTTACTGTAGCAGTTCATGGAGTTCTCCACAGTATAGAGTTTTAAACAAGGAACAGCACATAAAGAAAATTGTTGTCTCCATGGGTAAGATGCGCTTTGAGTTAATGCAAAGAAACAACTAGGTATTGAGGCAGCTAGGTGAAACAGTGATAGAGTTTTTGGATGTGGAGTCAGGAATATCTGAGTTCAAATCCTGCCTTAGACACTTATTAGTGAGGTAAAAACAATCAATTAATCAATTAAATAGTTGTCTATGGGTCTTAGGATGCATGTAAAATAACCAATATTCATTTATATTCTTATAAGAATTGGGGAATTTTGGAGGGGGGAGTGTAACTATGTCTTTGCACCAAAACCCACTGTGAATGATTAGATACATCTAGGAAGTATGAAGAGACAAGTAAGCAAAATGTTAATAACTAAAATTCTAACAATAAACCCCCATGAGCTTAATTCAAGTCTCAATAAGCTAATAAAAATATGATAAATACCTGGATTTGCTGTACCTTATCCTGGCCCTAAGTTACCAAAATTTTAAAATATGGCTCTGCCATTTCAATAAAACCATAAACATATTTTATACATAAAAGTACATATTTTTAAACAAAGCAATCAAACTTTTAACACAAAAAAATGTAATCAACTCAAAGAAATCTTGCTTCTTCCAATCCCTACTATTTGGTTTTGTTAAGTAACTGGAAAAATGAAAATGGTTCTGAAGTATCCTACAGAGTAGACCATCCCACTGCCTAGGAATTAGGATCATCTAGGTCCTATCTGTACTTTGTCCACTATAAAATCTTGAGCAGGGGGCAACTAGATGGCACAGTGGATAGAGCATCAGCCCTGGATTCAGGAAGACCTGAGTTCAAATCTGGCCTCAGGACACTTGATACTTACTAGCTGTGTGACCCTGGGCACTTCATTCCATTGCCTCACAAAAAAAAAAAAGAAAGAAAAAGAAAAAAAAAAGAAAAAGAAAGAAAAAACCTTCACTAATTCACTCCACCTGTCTAGTTAGGTCTCCTCATCTGGAAAAAAAAAAGTGAGGAAATTAAATACTCTCTAAGATCTCTTCCAGTTCCAACATTTCTTGATTCTCAGAAAGAGGTGGTTAATCAAAGTCCCAGAGATAGTATTTATGAAATAACTAAATGGAGACAAGTATGAAAGAGGTGGGCTTTGTTGCCATGATTCTTCTCAAAGCTTTTTTCCCATTTTGATCCTTCAAACCGTGATATTAACCAAATATGCAATTAGTACACAGGTTTATGCTAAAGAACCAAATGGAGGGGACAAAAAAAATGACTGTTACAATGATGTATTACATTATAATAATGATTGCATTACATACTAATGACTGTAGCATAGAGATAAATCTGGGAATCATGACTGACTCAGTAATCAGCCTGCTAGGCCACAATAGTGAAGCCATGCTCTAGGAATTACTTCCCCAATCCCACTGAGAGTCACCTCAGTGTTTTCCAGGAGCATCTCCCAGTAGTTGGGTCAAATACAATTATTTCTCTTTGCCCAGAATGTGCTTTAATAGAACTATTTTCACCCAACAATGATGCTATAGTGATTTTTAAGTCACAGAATATTAGCGCTAAAAGGGACCTTAGAGATAGTTCATCATTGAGAAGGATATGTCAGAAAGTAACATAATCCCAAGTTAAATGTCACAGCATGTCTTCCTAACTCCAGGCCTGGCCCTCTATCCACTGTGCCACCTACCTGCCTCTAGCTAAAGAGATTTTTGGGGGGAGCCTTATCTCACATCTTTTCTTTTCCTACCTTCAAGCAACTTAAAACAACACCATTAAGTACTCACCGTTTCCTTATTTTGTCCACATCTTCAGGGGATACAAATTTTGGCCTCCTACATACTTTTCTTTTGGTTTGGCATATCAAATTTCTCTGAACCATTTCTTGAAAGACAAATTAGAGACTTTTTTTTTAGTGATCAAAAGTAAAATACCTATATTTTAAAATCATGCATACACACACACACACACACACACACACACACACACACACACACACACACACA